TCTGTAATTACAGCTACTTGTTCTTATCTCAGTGAGTAACTGCAAACACAACACAGCCTGAGAACAGCAAAGTTGCTGTTCAAGTTTTGTCTCTTTTCCCCTTCCAAAGAATTGGAAAAAATTTAGGCAGTTATAAACTAAAAATGCACAAAATGTTTCCCTTACACATTCAAAAGCCAGCAAGAAGTGCTGCTTAACACAATTAGATTTAGCCTTTCACAGGTGCTTTCTGGAGGTGCCACTGGACGTCATTCTGCACAATGGTCAGAACCCAGCAGTCTGGTGCCAGGAACCCTCAGTCTCCTAAATTCATAATTTGTCATTTGGCTCCAGTTTCTCTTTTGCCTGGGTTCATTAATTCTCTCTCTTCACCCTTTTATTAGCAGAAGTGAATAGAAAAATAATTTAAAAGTAAAGGAAATTCAACAGAATCCTCAGCTGGATGCTCCCACTTCTGGAGTCCTAATCCACTGGGCTGCCTGTGCCATTAGCTAAAGCTATAGAAGCAGTGCACAAAGGGGGAAAATGCTCTGTTTTGGTATTGCAAGTCAGGCAGTAAGGGCCAGGCACTGTCCATCCTAGATGCAGGAAAATCCTGTTTACCATATCAAAACTCAGATTCTCCATGGCCTTAAAGCAAAAAGGGCCATATTTTTACAATTGCCCCCTAGGCCAGCATCATACTTCCGTGGACTTCTTGCCACCACATGTGTTTTCTCAGATATAATATTTTCTTTTCTTCCTAATGGTAAATTTAAGAGGTTACCCCACAGACTAATTTTTATCCAGTACTTATTTTGCCTGAAGGGCTGGAATTGTACCTAATACACTGACATAAAATCAGCATAACCACTGCAAGCAGAACTCTGCCAACACCACTTGAAAGCATACTGTGCAAAATCACAATGTGGTGAAAAAAAAATAATTCCTTTATAGCTCCAATCACATTCTCCAAGTAGCCACATTTATAGCATAATGTGTGAATAAGGGTATAGATTTATCAGGCAGTTTTAAGAAAACACATTAACAGAAAAAGTTTAAAGGAGAGTGTAGTTTTTTATATATAATGGTGATTTTCTTCTGTGAAGAGTTCTAATGTGTTTTTCAGTTAATTTTTGCAAACCCTCCTGTATTACTCATTTCAGTATTAAAGCAGAAACAAACACTTCCTTACATAATCTTAATTATATTTCTCTTTTGCTAATAATATCTAAAAATCAACGCACTACAAATACTTGAAAGGCATCAATCCTATTTGCAAAGCCAATTTTATCAAGCTCAAAATATCTAAGAAAAGTGTCAGTCACTTTTTCTACAGAATTTCATGTGCTACAAGAAACAGATTGTACTTATCATTTTATCAAAAACTTACTGTCAGTTTACAAATATATTAGGCAAGAGTACTTCTCATGCAAGGAAACATTCTGAGTTCAAAACCCAAGAGAGTTAAAAGGGAACTTTAATACTTTACAGCACAGCAGTCTCCCCTTTCAAAAGTCTGAAGACCTAATACCAGCTATTGCCCAGTATCTTCCTTACTTCCTTAAATACTCAACTTTCCTACCACCTTTTATACATATAGACTTATGTCACTGCATACATACAGTATGACAATTTATAGAAAAACATACAGTCCTTATGATCAAATTTTATCCCATAACAACAAAGTCTAAAAGCATAACTAGCCATTAACAATTAGATTTTGAGTGGAGACTTGCATGAGAAATGTCTCACCCTGAGATATCTGTAGAATTACCTAAAATACAGCATATGGAAGCATCCTCCAACTGCCTTCCTCCTAAAAAGCCTTTTACTGCTCTTTCTTCCATAATTTTTCAGATATTCCAGCTTTTCCAGCCCCCCAGGATCTTAACTAAGGTTTTCACCATCACAACTCAGCACCTGTTCTTTTCTTCCTTGCATTGCTACCAGTTACAACATCTCCCTTATGTTACTTCTAGAGAATCCTCTTCTAATTTTCAACCTTCACTAGCCTCTTTATTCTCCTCAAAGTTCTCAGATTTAATCTGTTAGTTCCTCCAATATTTAGCCCTTGTGTACCCTTTCAACCATATGTTCAACTTTGTTGATGGCCGTAGGCTCAGCTTAACCCTTCTCAAAGCATAACTTTCCACCTTAGTGTGGAGAGTAAACCCCTGAAAGGCAAGAACCTGGCCAAATGTGTGGATTGCCCCTGGCTGAGCAGGAACCAGCATAGCACTGTGTCCTTCACTCCAGCTGCCACCCTCCAGTTGTACCTTGGTTTTTAGATGGTTAAAACTTCCATTAGGTTTTAGAACACTTGGCACAACCAGTGCCAAGTTCATTGTCCTTTTAATGCTACCACTGCCATGTAAATCTTTAGTAGTGGCAGCTCCTAGGAGATAGTTTATGGAATATATGTCCTGGTGCTGCTCAAGCAGTCTCTATTACAGAAGGTGAAGCGAGAAGTTAATACTTGAGTTCAGGTTTATAATCCCCCATCACAAGTAGGCAAGAGAAGCAAATTTGGAAGTGACCTCAGTTTATAAGATGGTCCATCTTTGAGAACATGTAAACAAAATGCCTGGCAGGTAGTGAAATAAAACCTTTATGTCCATGTGAATATACACATACATATGTAATCTTATTTATGTAATGGCAACTCCACACTTTTCTTCATGCTGTTTGTACCTTCGTGTGCACTGGAATCAATCAGCCTCAGTCCCAGCAGTTCTATGAGCTTTTATCTCCCAGCATTTTCTAAAAGTGGCTGATGGTGACTGATATAAATAAAAGCAGCTTTTTACAGGAACAACAGATTTATAACTTTAATAAGACTGCCCTCCTTCCTGCATTAAAGTCTACAGTACATGACAAATCAGGTTAAGCAAGCTGGTATCAAATCTGAAGCCAAATGCATTTTTGAGCCAAATCTTAATTCTCTGAAGAGCTTCAGGCGTATTTTGAAGATGTTAAATTATTGATAAGGAAAATCAATTCTTTTTCCAGCTCAGGCAATGTCATACAGTCAGAGTAGCTAAGGCAGATTTTCTGTTTTATTTACATCATGACCCTTTAGAATTAAATTACCTACTTTGTTCCTCTTTAGAATCCTGATAAACAGTCACTACCAACAGCTTAACAACTTCTGTTAATGTCAGATAAAAGATTTGTCTGAAAACAGACTGTCAGAAACAGACAAGAAAACCATGAGACACCAGCATACTCCTAAGTTTATTTATTAAACTCATATTATTCCACCAATACCATTAAACCTGGACACTTAAGCAAATGAACTGCAATGTGTTCTGATCTGACCATGAACAGCTTCCTCCAAGGGTCAGAAATAATAAAATATGTTCCATTCATGAAGGCATCAAAACAGCAAACAATCCTGGGAGACTGTTGGCAGATAGCAAGAATAGTTCTTTGCAAACTTTTCCAAACCAAAAAATTAGTAGTATCTACATATATCTACTTCCAAGTTATTTCAGTCCCAGTGATTTTATTCAGCATTGATCTCCTAGCTTTTCCAGATAAAAGCTTGGGCACAACAATGGTTATGGGGATGGAAGCATTTTTAAAAGTACGCCAACCATTATAGTACAAGATACATAAAAGAGGAAAAAAAAGAAAATATTACCAATCTTTCCCATTAAAAAGTAAAACGGCAATAGTGAACAAGCAATTATTTACCAAGGATCAACAACCACCTTCATTCCCTTTCCCAAAAACGTCCTAACAATCAGTTTTAGGACTTCATGACATCATATGGTGAGTTAATGGAGAATTCCTGTCAGATTTCCAATTGAAGATGTCCAGTTTAGTAAAAAATGCAAGTATCTGACAGAGGAAAAACTGACTCTCCAGATTGGTTACTATGCTTCTCCCATCGGATATTTCCAACTATATCCCATTGTACTGTTATATACAGAAGAACAGCCTTAACAGATAAAAATTAGTAACTGTGTGCACACAAAAATATCTTTTGTCCCCTGAATATCCTACTAGTTAGGCCACCCTCCAAGATGCCTCTGCCAAATGCAAAAGATCTGTTCCCAGTTCTTCGATGGGTGTCCCTAGAACTGAGAAAAAGTAGATTATTTTCTGTAAGTGATGTGAGCCATTAACACTAGTTCCCAAAATATTCCCAAATGAAACCACTCAGCAAAAACAGTGAGGTTGCAATTAACTACTGAACAAGCAAATTCATATTTTTGATTAATAAAGCATCTCTAAGAAAATCCCTTATAAGTTCTAATATAAAACCCGCAATAGCAATAAGTAATAAATGCCTGTTTTTCAATCAGCCCCAATTCAAATGTGAGATGGCAAATAACCAGACAGGAAAACTATCTGAAAAACATACATAATAGACCCTCAAAATAGAGCGGAATTAATTTCCTTTGTTGTAAGTGACTCTCTCTAAGCTCCGATTTTCACGACGCTGTTTATGATGTAATTAAATGAGAAATGTGCTGCGGCAGGAAGCTCACCTAAGCGCTCCGGAGAGCGCTCGTACGTCTAGGCAAAACACAGCCACTTGCGGAAGGTAAATAACAGATGTTGTTTTTCCCTCTTACTTAACTACTCCTGCATCTGCCGCCTCTCTACCCGTGGAGCCCGACAGCTCCCGGCAGGGTGAGGGGGCAATGGGCAGCGGCGGTGCCGGGGGCAGCGCGGGTGGCGGTGCCCCGCAGCTCTCCCCGGATCCCGGTGCCGATGTCCTGCCAGGCTCCCAGCCCGCAGTAGAGGCACGCTGCCCACCGCCCCCCATGGGTCCCTCCCCACAGCGCCCCGGCCCAGCGGCGCCCCAGGCCCTGTCCCGGCCCCTCTCCCCGCCGCGCCTGAGGGAGCGCGGGCCCGCCCCGCCCGGGCTGCGCGCAGGCGCGGGGCCGCCTTCTCCTCGCGCACCGGCGGAAGCCGCACCGAGCGCGGCCGCCCGCGCCCCGTCCGCCGGGAGCGCCCGAGCCCCGCGTGTTCCCGCTCCCGCACTCTCCCCACCCCGCGCGGAACGGATGGCGGGGGTGGGCGCGGCCCTGCTCGCGGGGCTGCTGGCGAGGCTGGCGCTGGTGCTGTACGGGCTGCACCAGGACCGCACCATGCGGGTGCGCTACACCGACGTCGACTACCGGGTGTTCACGGACGCGGCGCGGCTGGTGACCGAGGGGCGCTCGCCCTACCGGCGGGCCACCTACCGCTACACGCCGCTCCTGGCCTGGCTGCTGACGCCCAACGTGCTCCTCACCGAGGCCTTCGGGAAGCTGCTCTTCGTGGCCGGGGACCTGGCGGCTGCCGTCGTCGCTTACCGGGCCCTGCGGCGCCGTGGGACCCCCGCCGGGCGCGCCTGTGGGTGCTGCGCCGCCGCCTGGCTCCTGAACCCGCTGCCCATGGCCGTGTCCAGCCGGGGCAACGCGGAGGCGCTGGTGGCGCTGCTGGTGCTCGCCACGCTCTACTGGGTGGAGGCGGGCAGCGTGGGCAAGGCCGCCGTGTGCTACGGGCTGGCCGTGCACATGAAAATCTATCCCCTGAGCTACGCGCTGCCCATAGCGCTCCGCCTGAGCGCCGCGCCGGGCCGCGGGGCGCTGCGGGCGCGGGGGGACAGAGCGGCAAGGGTCACGGTCATGGCGCGCCTCTGGCACCTCTTGGTGAAGATGCTGAACCGCGACGTGCTGCTCTTTGGAACAGTTGCCGGATCAGTGCTGGCTGCCTTGACTGTGGCATTTTATCACCTCTATGGCTGGGAGTTTTTGGAGCACGCCTACCTCTATCACCTGACTAGGAGGGATATCCGTCATAACTTCTCTCCCTATTTCTACATGTTGTACTTGACAGCAGAGAGCAAGTGGAGTTTTGCCCTTGGGCTCGCAGCTTTCCTGCCTCAGCTGCTTTTGCTCCTGGTTGTTTCCATAGCGTTCTACAGAGACCTTGCCTTCAGTTGTTTCCTACACACCGCTATTTTTGTGACTTTTAACAAAGTATGCACATCGCAGTACTTTGTCTGGTATCTCTGCCTTTTGCCCCTTGTAATGCCTAGTATTAAGATGTCTTGGCATAGGGCCGTGCTGCTTCTCTGTCTGTGGTTCATCGGACAAGGCCTGTGGCTTACTCCTGCATTCTTTCTGGAGTTCAAAGGATATAACACTTACTTATTTATATGGATGGCAGGCTTGCTTTTCCTTTTAATTAATAGCCTCATAATTGTTCAGATTATTGCACATTATCAAAAAGAAACACAAGTTGCAAAAAAACTGAAGCAACGGTAATAAACTGCCCAAAATCCATAAACAGCCCTACTGTACTCTAGGTAAGGCATCACATATCACCAGCACTTCATCTAACAAAAGTGCAATTAAGTTGTACTAAAGCACATTGTGTGTAAATGTTACTGTTTCAGGCCCTGAGAGCACTGATGGGCCTCAGTCACCCTGAGCAGTGTCAGCAGGGGTACCTGTCTCCTGTGTGGGTCTTGAAACTGCATTGCAACCTTCTCTCCAGCTCTGTCCTCTTGCTCCTGATTAGAATGCCTGGAAATACCCTGGCCCGGTTCATCACTTAAACATGTTTGGGGCTCTGGTGAATGGGCTCTACCCATCTGCACTGACTGTCTTCACCTGCTGCTTCCAGAGACAGTGGGGCTGTGCCCTGCCCTTTGACCCCTGTACTGGGGCCACCCAGTTCCTGCTCATACTCCCTTATGGACTAGGCCTGGCACCTTTTTCTCATTCTCAGTGTTAGTCTGATGAGGACCTTGGCCTTTACCTAGAATAACACGGGAGATAATAAAGGTGGAATTTGGTTATGAAATTGGAGTTTGACAGTTTTGTACATTCCAGTAGGTCAGTGGGGTGTTTGGCAAGGCAATCACTCAACATTTACAGTGGGGTTCATTTTTTCTTTTGTTTCCACAGTAACATTTTAGCTATGTGGCCTGTACCTGCTCGTTATGTCATTAACTCTTTGAGGCTTCTAATTTATTTTAGAATTCAGATATTCCACTCTTTCACTTATTTTTGCACATTCTGTTCTGTTTGAATTTTTAAATATATTTATTCCCCTTGCCATGGAGGAAGTTTTTCCCATATACCTGTCTTGGATCACAGAGATGTATAAAGCTTATATATTTGTTTCTTCCTGCCAGGCTCCAGAAAAGAGGCCACTGCCTTACATTTCCATTAATATATGGTTATTGTGGGTGTTAACAATAGCAAATGCAGAGTCAAAGTACACTTAGAATGGCACCTGTGTCCCAAAAGCACTAGAGTTTATGCCAAAACAGTAATTGGAAATGTTGTTTCTCAGTGGTTCTGTTTCTCTGCTATTAAAAAGAAATGAAAAAATGAAAGGGGTTGAGGAAATTGAGCAGTTCCCAGAAGAAAAGGGAAGTTTTGAAATAGGAAGCTCTACAACTTGTCAAAACACATTTATTCCTGTAGGAGACTGGAAGATTTGGAATTGAGTGCCAGGTGATGATGAGAGGAGAGCAGAGCCATTTTGGAATCAATACTCTCTAGAACATCCCACAAGAGGTCTGATGTACACAGCTTTTGACAGAGGCAGAAACTGACAATGTACTTTAGTAAAATCTACTTTAAATAGGCAAATGCCAAATAGAAGGATTGTCATATTTGCCTCACCTTTTAGTTACACCCAGTGCAAAAGTGAAAACCCTACTGTGTAAAATAGAGTGGGCTTCAAGGCAAATTAGCTTCAACCACTTAGTGGAATTCCTGGGAATGTCGCTGGGAAAGGGTGTGGCCAAATGGATTTGCGGGGCTGCCTCTGATCCCTGGTGGTCTCCTGAGGCTGCCCTCCTCCCCAGCACAGCACTGCACTGACTTCCAGCTACTTCACGTGCAGGATTTCTTTTCCTGCTTGTTGTGCTGTCTTGCAACATGGAATTACAGTATTTTAATCTGTGAATTTTTCCCATTGCTTCTCAGCCTCACTGAGTTTCATGTAACTGAGGTGGTTACATAAAAGAGAGGAAACCCCTGAGCCCTCACAGCCCAGGGCCAAAGGACATGTTATCAGGAGATGTGATCGTGTCCTTGTACCACTCTGGCCCAATTTAGACATTCTGATGTGCTAGAAGGACAATTTCCCTGTGATTTCCATGGTCAGAGTATTGGGGAGTGTTTCTGCTCCCTCACTGGAAAGCTTTTCTCTGCCATCTGCCTTCTCACTTGCCTTCAAGCTGTGAAAATCTTGACAGCCTCTTTGAGAATCCAGAAATTGGATAAGGCAATGGGTATTCTTCTGGCTGTCTTGGTTTTTTGGGGCAGACGTGGCACTGATTTCCTTCTTTATCTGGGATGAAGAAAGTTTTATAGCACCAGCCTGTCTACATCTTCCACTAGAGGTGTATCAGTCAAAAAACTGGTGGCATAAGCCACTTGCACACAGTTTTATATTAATCAGCAAGACATTTTGTGTGTGCTGTGAGCGTGTGAAGCAAAATCCTCCCATGTGGCTTTATTCTCCAGGGCAGAGTTGGATATACCCAGCTTCCACAGAAGACTGAAGAGGCTCTGCTGTGCAATACTTCTACTCACCCCATGCTGATGTCCAGGCAATGGCTCATTTTTCTTTTTAGCTGACCTTCCATTATCTGTTACACATTTTTCTGTTGCAAAAAGCGTGTTTTCTTCCCCCAGAGCAATGTTCTGTATTGCTTTAACAGACCTACCTATGCTGTTTGCAGACATTTCCACACCTCTATTTTTCCCTTTCTATTAGCAAAGGAAGCAAATGCAAGCTAAAAGGCATTTCTAACCTCAAAAACCTACAAAACCCAGCATTTTAAGTTACTTTATTTGTGACAGAATTGTAATTTTTTAGGTAAGAAGTAATTTCCTTCTGAAAAATAAATTCTTGTCTTGTTAATAGCTACATCATTTTGAGAAGGCAAATTTTTCAGTAATTCTGCATCATTTTCCCGAATTCAAATTCTGAAGCAGCAACAGGAGCTGAAGGGTACCTTCCATTTGATGGTCAGTACCAGTCCTGCAGTGATGATTTGAGAAAGCTATGCATAAACAAGCTATAAAAAAGCTTTTAAAAAAACCTAGATTTACAGTTGTCATTCTAATAATCCAGGACGAGTCCCTCTTTTTACAGTTGCTTTCTAAATCACCCAAATGTGTTTGTGATTTAGAAGTTATTCGAATGACTCATAAAAAGCTGGATAAGAGAAATAAACTGAAGGAAACAAACAAAAAGATATTTGAGAGTTTAGATATTGAAAATTGCTTTTAAAAACCAATTCCATAGTTAAATGGAATTGAATCATTTATTCATTTTTTTTAAAGGGTTAAAATAATTTAATGGAGTACCAAATAAGTTATAGTTCTTGAACAAGTTATGGTGAATAGTTATAATGCCTTTAAAATTTACCAAATTCATTTCCTATGGAACATTTATTGCTTTTGATGCTGTTCAGATTATTTTGCTTGATAACTTTGTGTCCATTTATCCTCTGATAATTAGGAACTGAAGTTTCTCAATGTTAGTGTTCCTTCCCTACCATGTGTTGCAAAACTGTAATGGCGACTCCTTTGCTTTTAAAAGTTTGAAATGCCCATTGAAATGTGTCCCATCTGCAGAATTTTTTCACATTGCACTGAAACCAGCCCTTAAGCACAAAGTACAAGAGGTGAAAGAGGGAAAAGAATCAAGAAAAGTATCATTTTTGTCTTGATTTTTCCACTGTAACCTATTGTCCAAAGACTCATGACTGGATTCTCAGGTGACTTCAGGCAAAGCTCGGCATTTAACAATGATTTGTTTTAAAGTTTATAAGTGCAATTATTAAAAAGGCAGGGTAAACAAAAGTACAATAATAAATATTTCATTCAGTTTTAGTGTGGGAATGCTGAATTACCATCTATGATACAACGTACTTGGTCTTTATTAAGGAACTTTTGTGTGTGTGTGTGTGTTACTTGCATTGTATTGACTCCTGTCATAGTAAAGAAGGCAATTAGGTGGGCTAAACTGAGCTCATCAGAAACCATGAAGCATTTACACTTAACAGCAAGGGGAAACTCCAACATTTTTTGTAATATTGTATGGAGAAAGTAAATGTTAAAAGAGAGTAAATTATGAGCAAATGGTTTGCTTTTTTTATCTGAGAAGAATGAGTCATCTACTTCAAAAGGGCTGCAGAAATACATAGCTAACACAGGGAACCTCAAAATATATCAGATATTCCTCATATATTTGCCAAAGACAGCTGCAGAATGCCTGTCCTAGTGATATCATAGGATTACCCTGAATTTAGGACAAACCCTTTACTCAGACTGAAACCAAACCACTCAAGCAATTTTCTTGCTTAAGAGCATATTTATGTGCACAATACTTACAAGCTGAAATATTTACCTGCACATAAAGAAACAAAAAGTCCCAGTCAATACATCTTTGAATCATATTTTTCAGAGCTACCCTCTGTAAAACAGGTTCCTTATGTATTTCTTATATTCAGCACTCAGAATCTCTAGTGTCTCTAAAAATGAATTACATAAATTTTGATGCATATGGAAAATAAAATCATATGCTGCAGGGATCTTGAGGTGTAATAGGCACAATAAAGAACGAACTAACTCTGTTCTTGAATGTGCACATTCCACTGGTATCCTGATGTTCTTCATTATAAAAATCTGCACTAGTCACATTTGTGCAGGAGACTTGTTTCAGTCTTTATGCATGATGAATGAGGTCAGAGACCTACATTTTATACTAGTGAAAGTATCAGAAAGATAAAATTTTCTTTTGATGCAAGTACCATTGTTTTGAGGTTTATTTTAATTGAATTTCTTTTAAGACATTAATAAATTGATGCAATAAATTCATGCAACTGTTGCACGCATTTTTAATAGCTGGAATGTCTCTTTTTATTTGTAATTTTTTAATGGTGCAAGTTGATAGTACTTTGAGCAGAATTCCTCATGACCCCTTTCTGGTACATACTGAGAGGGTTGGGGCTTCTGCAGAAGAGGTTGTTTACTGGGCTGCAGTCTTACTTCATGTGTAGATAAAACTTTAGCTGCAGCCTCTCATTATTCTTAGAGCTTAACTTTCAGATGTTAATGATCTCTTCAGATAAAAAATTTCATAGCTTGCACATAAAGAAATTACACAGAAGAGATCTTCCATATTTTTCATGGAAATTGGTGGGGAAGCCAGCTAGAACATCTGCGGGAGAAATGTCGAAAAGAAATGTCTGTATCTCATTAGCTACAAAAACAACTTCAGCCTTGGAAATCAGCTGAAATGCAGGCAAATTGAGCAGTAATCCCATACTGTGAAATTCCCATTATTTATATGAAGGGTATTCGATCAAAAGTGCTTTCCCATTTTACAGGAGGAAAATGGGATCTTGATAGCAATTGTCAGGGATGAGTATGACTTTCCTTCCTTCACATTATTGTA